TAAGCTACCGAAAACTCTTAAAGCGGGGGTCATCTCCTGCGCATGCGCGGAAATTTAGTCCAAGGCGACGATAATAACACACGCTAAAAAACGCAAAGGCTCATGGGTAGACGGTTGTTTGTAAACAGTGACACGCTATGACCATCTGACGCATGCGCAGGTGACGACTCCCCCGCTTTAACATTACGTAGAATTGGTTTCCGGCGTCGAAATACATGCTACAGACTCTCACGATTGTGTCATCAAGTATAACATATGTTTGTTTGTTAATTCTACATTCCCGCTGGGTGTTGTATAATTATTATGTCAAGACAGGTTATTGTGAAGTAAGATACCTATATTTGTGCGTCACCCGTACAGGGACTTTAGCGAAGTAAAATATGTAGGATTTGCGAGAGAGGAACCCCAGAGTGTATTTATTCGCTTACGTCGGACGACACAGGGATATATATATAATTTTATTTCTTTTAAGCACTTTTCTTTATTTTCATGTTGTTAATCGGATATCATTATTTGTACATACTGATTTTTTTTAAGATTACATTTAATATTATTTTCCAACTTCCCGTGTCTGTATTATTTTCTGGGATGTTCGAGTGTGGGCCGAGGTTGTTTTGTTTTCCTTTAGTATTGCTCAATTTTGAAAAAAAAATCTTTCCAACAGAAACACAAGTGTACTACATTTTTAAAGTCTATGTACCATAAACCCAATTTAAAGCGTGCAGCTGGGAAATTATTAAAACGCGTATTTGTGTTTCTTCTGCTTCATTGCTTCATTGCTTTTTTTTATTTCTCGTTTTCATGTAATTTTATTTTTATTATTATTAATTTTATTTTGTTTTATTCATTTTAATTTACGTTATTTTCTATTTTGTCATTTATCATTTTATTTTTATTTTGATATTTATGATTATATTGTTTTTATTTTAGCTAGCAAAATTATTTTTATTAAAAAAATATTGTTTTTTACAGTTTCTGTGTGTTTATTATTATTATTGTTTGCTGTACTGCTGATTTATTTTTTGCAGCACTTCAGCCATTCTATGTATGTCTAGGTGAGTACCTGTTCATATTCCATATGCCTCATATCACTGTATATCACGTTAACATATGTGTAAATATTGTCCATGCAAAATCTGGTTACAGCAGCCACTCAATACACACGCTATATTCTATAGGATACTTTCCTAAAACAAAGGCTTTAAAAACTTGATAGTTCATTAAAACAAGTATTGGGGAACCTAAGTAGGCTAGCTGTTGTGGGGTATAAAGTTTCATCCGTGATGCCTCAAAACAGTTGCAGGATCTTTATATACTCCTTACAATTAATCCTTGTTGTGTCCAGACTAAAGCCACAACTTAAACTATATATTTAGTATATATGCAGCCTTGCACTGAAACTTTGTGATAGGTCGAGACACTCTAAGCAGATTTTAAGTATCATTTAATGCATCGCGACGTTTATTGAGTACTAGTTCGCTAAAAGTCACTTGACATTTTCTTGACATTTGTTTTAATTCTACTACTTCATTCATTGACTGACTCCCAATTTAAATATAATGCACCTACTCGCAGGCTAGTATCACTATAAAGTTTACAACATGACGTTACGCAATCGATTAACATATGCGAGCGTAGGCTTCTCCTGAAACGTAAAAACACGCCAGAGTAAGTGGGTCATTTTTAATAAATGGGAATTACGTTTATAATACTGCGCCGGTACCAGTAAAACTTAGCATATACGACTCTCTGTAACATTGAATTTAATTGGCCGACAACTGGAAACATATATACATCATACATGCATGATTTATCGTCGCGATTTTATGCAAATCATAAACGGGAGACGCAGAGAACATTTATTTCAATAAAATTCATTTTTTATCTGTATGCTGATTTAGTTTTTCTCTAGATATAAAAAAAACTTTAGCCTCGTGGCGTCTCAGTCTGCTGGTGCGCATGTGCAGAACGCACCGAGGAGACTGCAATTCCATTCAGCCATGACGGAATCATGTTCCTTCCGATGGTGTGCACTCACTTGGAAATATACTAGAGAGACACACGCCACATTCATGATTCGCTGATTACCGCACGTCAGTGAGGGGGTATGAGAACGTGTAGCTAAAGTTGTAATATATGCCCCAACTGATCATCGACCTTATAAACAAAATGACCCGGAATACGAATAGATTGTTTGGAAACTCGAATTAACTCACTTACCCACCTTAAATTGAGCTAAAATAAATCGATATTTCCGAAATCCCAATGATACTGACACCAAGTTAAGACGACAGTGATACCTAAGTTATTTAAGTACACCAATACTACCCGAATCGGCCTTCGATTGCCTTGTGTCGAGTCTACTACAATTGTCGATTCATAGCGACAATATTCGTTTTTCCGATCAATACGCTGTTAAGCCACTATTCTGGGGCATAGGTCACTGGCGTAGATAACATTAATCTAAATCAGGTCGATACACACATCAATTTGTAATGGGATGGATTGAGTAGACACAAACATGAGACATCCAGTTGGCAGCGGCCTCAATCTTTGGGTATCGGACGGCTGTGTTCATTACAAAATTCTTGTCAATCAATATTTATTAATATGCAGAACGTGAACTATACAAATCAATTATTCAAATAAAGGGACACTACCTGTCTTCAGCCTGAGGTGTATTATCCCCTCGTTTATATCAATTATGTTTTATTGGGGATTGTATCGTCACATCTGGCGAAATGAACAAGTCAGACGCTACATTTAAGGCATTCTGACGTGCAAGTCTTGGATTGGCCCACACGAAATAGGTCAGATGGCAGTAATCTACACAGTAAATGTTCGTAAAAGGCAGTGTCATTTCGAACGTCAGACGCCGCCGGTGTACGTGACCAGCAAACCCTCACGCACTACAGCGATGAATACTAATGGCCACACAGAGTAACAAATGATACCTTATAACGGAATCCTCTGTCAAATAGTGAGGCTGCATTTCAATGCGCAGTAAACAGTGTATTGGATATGCAATTACAAAATTGACCAAATACACAAGGAGGCAAACAAGTGTCTTTTATATGGGAACATCAGCGTTGCAATGACAGTAGTAATTCATCGAAATGTATTACAACACCACAAAAAACTTGAAGTCAATGAGCATGCAAATTAACTAAATGAATAATTTCATAACGATTTTCTTGTATAATAATCCAATACTAAATTTTAAAAAAACTATCGGTAATCACACATTTATTTTGATTAAAATTGCACATAGGCATGAAATGGGACACTTGAAAGATTCCGAAATTGCTGTATTCACATGTTTAATACGTTCCACACCATGGTTAGACACACCGGGTAATAACAGTCTTGTATAGAACCTGTTAGTGGTGTAAATCATTTAAATATTATCAATCAGTACGATGCAGTTGAGTCGAACCATTGGTATACTTTTATAAAAATAAATCTGCTAACAACAAGCTACTATCTGATTGGTTATTGACTTATGGTCGGGTAGTCAATCGGGTACAAGCTTAGCTAAGCATTGACGATCATGGTGTGGTTTTCCGATCTCGTAAACCTGAACGTTGAGGGCTCCCCTGTTTGGTAAACAATCCGCGGTTCGATTATGATTAACACAAATATGAAACTTTTTTAAACGGCAATCCCGAAAGGCTTTCATTTTAAACTTACGCCTAAGTGCACTTAGTATGCGTGATGTGTGACTGCCTTATTTGATACCAATCACAATGTATTAAGTGCGAAGTCAAGTGTGACGACTCAATATGACAGGTATTGATTACTTTTTCTACTCAGTCATAGTCAAAATTGCCTGCTTGACCTAGTACTCAACTATGATATGAATAAACATTGGACGCATCAGTAATTTAGTTGAAAACCTAAGCATGCACAGTTATACAAGTAAAATTTAGTGACAACGTGCCACTGTGACGTCAATTGATGAACGGAACGTTGTTCACATGTTTGATGGTCCGTTGTTCTCCGCCAATAAAATATACGTTTTGAGAAATGTGACAGACGCCATTCGTCTTTAGAGGGCGCGACACATAGGAACCAGTTAAGTCACTTTCAATAGCATGTACAATTCGGATTCAATACGTCGTTCCACGGAAACTAAACAATTCGTTCTTGATGTATATCTAAACAAACACTGTTGAACATGAACAGAGTTGTTTGTTGGATTGATTTCTAATTATTTGATTGATTGACTTCGAATACCAATTGTAATTAGTTTTTGATATTAAGCTGGTGGTTTCATGTAATTTGTATGCTAATTTAAGTATGTATGTATATATAACAAAAGTCATGTTAGGAAGCAAATTGCGGCATGGATCATTCTTCAATACCGATTTCATTTGAAGATCTTGTTGTTATATTTCCCTACTATTCGTCTGTTCTTGAGAATTATTTCAGATACTTATCCGTATATTATTTTTCATATGCATATTCACACTCTTATTTTGTGAACATGAGTTACTACGCCAAACCTACGTATATTATTCAAGATAATTGTCCATAACAATGTCAGCATTTCATCACATATCTGTAGAACCCATGGACCTACTCGGGTCATAAACACGTTTCGTTTTAGACCACACAACTAGATTTTTTACATTTTTTGTTTGTTCACAATAAATACATACTCAATCTTTTCACTTGCTAATTGTAACAATACCGCAATATATATATTAATCGTGCTAAGGCACCGAAGAGACCAATAATATATGTGGATTTGTATGAAAAAATGACCGCAATAGACCGTAGAGGCATATAACCGCCGATTTCTCGTTGAGATCGAAAAACCCACGTAACTTGCTTTGCTGACAAATAGTTTATTTGGGAGTTCGAAAAATGTCTCTCAGATTTCCCGCTTTCTTTATGAGATCTCGACAGCAAATTACGTCCGAAGTTGTATTGTCCTGTAGCATTAAAAATAACTAATTTCGTTATTGCCACCCCGATTGCTGAGATAAAACTCAAATGGAGAGTGTGTACACTGTCATGTTTAGAGAGAAATTAATTAGAATGTAAAAAATGAAATTGAAACTCCGAACAGCTGACTCGTATCAGATAATGTTGTACGTAATCATGTATTGTATGTTTCCTGTTAGGCATCATCGACATTAAAATTTAAGTCATTCATTTACAAGATGCAATTAAAATGCAATAAACACAACGAATTTGGCCGCTCGCTACACTATTATTAAAAACATTTTACAATCGTCCCACACGATACAATAAAGTACAAATACTAATATCTAAGGAACATGTACAAGTCAATAACCAAATCTTGTAAAATATCTTAGTTTATTATTCTTTGCTGTAAAATGCATATTTATTTCGTCAAATGGACAATAGTTAACATTATGTTATTTCTACTAATTAGTATGCGTAAGTTTTTAGTATGCGTTTCTTTTCAAATACAAACAAAATATGCAAATATCATTGTTTCTTTCTCATGGAATTAATACACACAGTACATACCAAGTAAATACAATTCCGACTGTTTCTCACATACGGAAGATTTATATTTTCCCTTAATATTGTTGACAGTGCATTTCGATGAAAATCATATAACGAAACCTGTGTCTAATGTTTGATACATTTTGGGGAGAAATATCTGTATTAGCATTTGAGCTATCGGAAGATAGCTCTTAAGATTACTGAAATAGACGTCTTGAGATTGATTCACTACGAGGCTGTTGTACGTGCTAACGAATCCAAATAAAAATTGAAAAATAAAATGCAAGGCAAACTAGTGAATGAAAACTGGCGTATTTCTAGACTTCGACGCACGCTGAGCACACACAGCTTTCGATGAAATCATACTCGTGTGTGAAAATGCTCGAGTCATCGCAAAGTAAGTTGGTTCTCCGTTTACTTGTTTCCTGAGCGTAACAACACATACAACTGCTCTGTGCTTCTGACGCATAGGAGTAGCGGAACCAACTGCTACACCTCCCTTCACAGTAGGACCACTCCACTGTGCCGTTGCTATGGCAACCATTCACTTCGATCTCGATTTCCTCTACAACGTTTTTACATGGAGATACGGCCAATGCTGTAACATAAACACAGTGGGTTAGTGCCACGTTAGTGGGCGTAGTAGTTTTGCCTATAGCGCAAAGAGCTTTTTAGAAAGTATATACTAGTAACTCCCAGCGACTGACTCAACGTTCGACATTTTCGAACAAAAAAAAGTAGTCAAGATTGAAAAAAATGTGTGTTGTTATGGAAAATTTAAGAATGAGTATCACATTGTAAAAAGAGCTGGATATAACGTATTATACACGCCGATCGTAAACAAATTTATATTACAAAGAAATGATTCCGTTATCACAGCATTGGACTGTGATATGTTTAATCAATTTATTTGATGGAAAGATACGTATGCATTGCATTAAATATCGCGTTTACAATAAGAATCAGAAGACTGTCACAAGTTTTTCTAATTTTAGTGTTTTTGGAATGTCCGGTATCCGATTATGTTAGAAAACTTAAATACCTCAATTTTACAATAAAACCACATTAAATGAGAAACAGGCAGTCGGATCGGAAAACCTGACGCAGAGCTATTTTGGTAACGATCATCTGCAACACTAACATTTTCGTGTAGGATTGTATACTGTAGATAGTCGAGATATTTTGTCAGGAAACATGTAAACGCCTAATGTGTTACAAACAACCAAATAGTGATTATTTTCATTGGTCTATCTATAGGACATCGGTCAGGTCCCGTCTCAAGCCACTAATTTATCATTACTTACCACAGTAAGGACAGCATGTATCATTCTTTACGACAAAGGCCTGTAAGATATTTCAATTCAAATAGAATCAATTAATCAACATAAGCTATCTCGACTCACATTCTGTCTATCCTCCACTACAACACCCGGCCTATATTGGCTGCTAATTTCCCCTAACGACATGTATTAGAACGTAGGCTTAGTGTCCGTAGTTGTAACAATAATCAAATCTAGATCTTTAAAATAATATAAAATAAAATTTATAAAACAATATTTTTATCATTATTTTCCATGTTGATATACATATTAAAACACCACAGTCATGCGGCGCGTATTCGAATTCCGTGTAAGCAAGCGATATATTACATATGATGTATACGTTGTATATAACTCATATCAAATACGCCAACTGTGTGAGACATAATGTTTATAACCATATTTCGCAATGAAATGAATCTCGAAAAAAGTCTTTTTGGCTTTAATGATACGTAATGTTAATTAGAAATGCATTTAACGTTCCCCCGATTGCTCTTTCAAGTTTTAGGCTTATCACCTTTCACTTAACCACACTAAAATACATGTCTAGTCGGACATTCTAAAGATTGATGACTCAGAACACATCATGTACACTACTAGACAATGGAATAATAACCACTCTTATATATATAAGGTCAATAACCTCTTACTAATGCCAGAGGCATAATTAGCTTACCGGTCCCTTGCAGTCGGCACTAACGCTTTCACAAGAGATGTGAAATGGATACAGCAGTGGAGTGCCATCTTTATCTGCGACGCATTCATTGTAATCGCACTTATTTATAGGATCATCCAGGGGCCATTTATCGCCGATCTAGGCAGGAGAGAAAATGAAGAGCTTTTATATTTACACACGTTTCTCTGAATATGGGAATGCAGTGTTCTGACAATTATTGTATTTCCCATTGATATTTATTATCCGTGAGTTGCTCGATCAATGTAGCTGTGAAATATGATGAACTGAGAGAGGATTTATCCACGATGGTCCTACCTCGTACTTAACGTCGCCGTCCACACACCATCTCTTTTGGCATCTACCACAACACACTCCGCTTTCGGGTGAAAGATATTCAGATTGCTGCAACAACACATATATGATTTTAAAGAATGCAAATCCAGAATTACAACATGCTTTTCATAACACAAAAGACGTGATTGATCGAATCATTTCAATGATTTTCACGATATGTTAACTTATGATTGCTACTTACGACTTCCCACGGCTAAAGTAGTCAGATTGTTGAAATCGTACAATGATAAACGAGTCGAATATAAAAATAAAAATTCTTACATGTGTGAAAATAGTAGTATGATGTGTCAAGTAAATTAGCAGATGTATGTTATTAAAAGATATTACCTCATCGCAGTCTTCCTGACTATTCACGGCACATTGAATGACGTCACATTGAATCTGGTAAAAATCGCTGACAGGGTCGTGTTCCTCCAGACATTCACACACTCGGCATGGGTTATCGCCCACAAGATTCGTGCTACCAGGCTTAAGAAAAAATAATATTTATATTCGAGTATATATAAAGTTACACAACATGAACGTCTATATCTTGTTGCCTTTAACATAGCAAGAACATTAATGTTTTAAACATATACGACGTTGTACCTGACAAAGTGCATGCTTTACACACCAATGCAAACACTATATAAAGTACGGTTCCCCAGGCTCATATGAATGGAATACATCAATATAATTGTATTGAACAACGAAATGCAGAGAAATCATCGACGCTATAGAAATTATTCACGCTGCAGTGATTGAGACTTTGTAAAAGATTCGATATAGTTTGTAAACGTATTTTACCTGTACTTCTTGGAGTTCGTTTACAAGCGTATTATTCCACACACATACTTCTTTTTTAACTGCAAAAGATATAAAATCATTCATTATTGTGAAGACCGAAAACTTAAATCAATATATAAATTCCGTGGTTATATAATTCAAAACTCTTAGTGTTATTGCAAAATTGTATTGTAATTCTGACTTCTGTTTTGTTTTTTTGTACATCCAGACAAGCTTCACTGTGACAGTGATGATATAAGACTCTGAACACACTGTCTAGAGAGTGTGAGAGGCTATCTCTCAGTAATTTAGATCGGAATGTACATAGTCAGGATTACAAAAGCCACGCATGTAACGTAGAAACATATAACACAATTCAAATATATTAATGACTTACCACAACTGTATTTAATGCAATCACATTCTTCCCCATAGAGAACTTCTTCTTTCGCATAACCCTTGAAAACAGAATCGTAGTGTTCATATTCATTACATAACAAAGTAGTGAATGATGATAAAAAATAACCCCTTCCCGAGACTGTAAACATTTATCTTCGGCAATCTGCATACGTTCAAAGTTATTATTAGCTCATTTTAGTGTAATAAACTATAGTGTTGTATTAAGCGTATTATTTAAATGTAAATGCTTCACGAAAACACAGACTATCGTGATATACCAACTATATTGAAATTATAATCGTCTGTACAAATGCTACAACACACTCGACACTGTCGTGACATAGTGGAAACGTGGGGTGGCGCTGTTCTCAACTATCTATTGATTCGCTTCTAGAATGATTCCAAATATAATATTTATAAGATCGCCAGCCTGAGCGACAATCATTGAAGCCACTATTGTCTTGTAGTTAATACATTTATTAAAATACAATCTGCTAATAACTAGGTACATGACGTAACATATAACACACACACACGCATAAGAAATAACAATAGAAACATACCACTTGACAGTTTATCACTTCCGCTTCCGGACAAGAACAAACTGTCGAAAGAAGTACACATTTATATTACGAATTACCGTAACTTATTATGATTATGATTTTGATTCATAACTGAATACTTTAGTGCGATAAGTGCGAAATTGAATTGAACTCAAACGATTGCACACCCACCACATTCATGCTGCGGACAGCAGAGGGAAATGGTTTCTTCTATGAGCACTTGCTCTTTATACGTCGGACACGTTACTTCTTGTGGTGGACAATTGACAGGGTTACACACTGCAATGAGATAAGTAGGTCAACTATAATTGCTAAATATACCTAACTGAACTATGCCATCCCGGATGATACTATATTATTTAATTTTGGATATAAAATAAATTTTTATGGGCTTTTAATACCCGGTTTTTAAAGATCATACATTCAGAATTATTACTGAGAAGCAAGATATATACGTGATACACTTACCACATCGATACTGATTACAACAATCATCGGTGTTTTCTTTATAAATGTCTAGTGATTCAAAAGGTTGGCAGGTGGGTACTCCCGAGTAATCGCATTCTCTGCAAACTAGAATATATGCATCATTATTGTTCTGTTATTCCTAACGTTTATATTTGTATTACAATTTGTGACTTACTGACATTTAGTCATACTGCTCAGACATACCATTCACTATTTTTTTTAACACGAAACAATATTGGTACAACCTACCACACTCCTGTTTGGTGCAGCACTCATTGATAACGGTGTCTACTAAATCTCTGTCGTGATTGCACATTTGTGTTGGGTGAAACGATTCAGGTGGACAGGCAAGCGGATCACACACTGAAAATAATACATTAGATGGTTACTGGTAACTAGATGTTTGTTATTGTACTAACACGAATTATAATATTTCATTGTGAACTTACCACACTGGTAGACAGGACAACACTCTCCAGTGACATGTGTCGTTTCCAAACGTTTTGGTTCACTACATAGAGGTGCAGCCATGCATTGTTCGGACGTACAATGTGCGTTTCCACCAGGGTAGCATATACATGTCTGACAGGCGTCCGGCTGCCATGTTTCATTCATCTAAGCCATACAAGAACAAATATAGTTTGAATTATGAAAATAGTGTGTAGTATAAATGTTTGAAATCACATGCAAATCGGCGTCGCAAAGAAGGAAAGTTGCTTCGTTAGAACCATTATATTTACATACCATATGTTTAATCCCGTTAACGTCAGTGCAGTAGTCTGTGGGAATGAATATACAGAACCGTTAAAGTAGTTAGGTTAGTTAGGTTAGCAACTACCGATGTATTGTCTCTAAACAAGTAATCGTTCTTACCACATGACTGGACACACTCTCCATCGTCATCAACAATAGTGCCAGGTGGGCAAAAACACCCTTCAACGAGACGACCAGAGCAGATATCTACGTTATATACGTCTTCATTTACGCAGGTTTTAACGCAAGGAACATGACATGGGTCATATTCTCGCCCGTCTTCGCAATCAGGTGCGGCTGAAATGGCAAAGAATAGAACTATCAATGCAGTATTCAACAATTAATTCAGCGAAAGAAAAATATTGTATAAAACTTTACGTTAAGGCATATGCCAGTCTCTTCAATTGAATACGTACGGCACTCATGTTCTTCTCTCCAATCTAAGCACAAATCATGCCGTGAACATTCCATAGCGTACGATGCTAGTGCATCGCAGTGGTATCCATGGCAGGCTCTTTCCAGCAAGCATGCGCGGTAGTACGGTAGCGGATCCACCAAGAGATTACACTGTTTAAATATTCCTTCGTATATATCTTTTCTGCATTTATCTCTATCCTTTTGTGTTTGGTCAACTCTACGTGGTACATCAGTGGTTACACAATACTGATTATCATCTTCGCTCTCCTGTAACCAGCTCAAAGCAAAGTCCGTGTCGTTAGTAGCTATCAAACTATTCTCTTTCATCCGATCATCTTCGGGATTGCGATTACATGGACCTAAGATAGAATGTAAAACAAACAATATAGTCGCAAACAATATAGAATAACACGAACAGTGCACATACATTGTCAATAATTCAGTGTAAAAGATCACATGGCACATCGTTTCTAAAAGTTTTCCTCCGGCGACAACTCGTGTTTTTTTCCGTGTACGTGGCATAAATGGTAGACGCCATTCACAGCAGTGCTTCTGCAAATAAGAAATACTGTTATTGTTTCAAGAATATATCCAAATTTACAAAAGACAACACAGCCACAGAGAGTCGAATTTTTGAACGACTTGATATTACCAAGGTGCACGAATCGGTAAGGTGGTTTGCGTTTCACAAATCTCATCGTCAGTTCAGCTAACATTCTAATGAACATTCTAACCTACTTAATATCAATGTACCTAAACTATGAAGTGACCGATATGCAAATTAGCACATACTTATGCCATAAAATGGTTTGTTTTAGAACTTGATCTGTGAAAAGAATTATTCGATTATTATTATTAAGTTGAAGATATTATAATGTTTTGTTCAAGAGGATCACATACAAAAATAAAAGTTAGTAGACGTTGCGAATTCAGTTTAAACAAGGTGAAACGATTCGGTTAATTGGCCAAATATCGCCGATAACAACAGTGTACTGATATTTATTTGCATTGATTATATTTATAAAATTATGAATCACGACCATATAATTACACTGATATATAGTTTAGAACACGAGCTTTGAATAAATAATATAATATACTGTATGTACACGGAAATACGAAAAATGCCTAAAGAGGATCTTTTTAGCAAAAGTAACCACACTCACCACATAGCCCTTCTGTGGCATTCAAGTATTTTGTTCCCGGCATGAGTATTCCAAAACCATTGATGTAATCATAATAGGAAACCTCTAAGTTAATATCTGGAATTCGCAGGTAGAGAGACCACCCTCCAAGCTGAGAAACATGAATTCCATCTACTATTATCTGTGGCGGTCTATAGTGCTCTACTCCATTGACCACTACCTGAAAACATATAGACCGATGAGGTTAAACGGTGAAATCTAAACCCGTCACACACTGCCCGACTCTACACGCCTGTTGAGTATGCATTTTCAGCGGGGATTCAGTCATTAGAACCTAGATTTCGCGACAGTTTGACACGTGGCGTTGAATTCGGACCACTCTGCTACAAGTTCCGCTTTGTAAAAGCATAACATCACAAACAGCGGCGTAAAGTACTAACGCTTTTTGTAATAGTTTTTTCACTTTTTATATTTTACATTTTAAAGCCATATTAACACTACTTTCTTTAGGAGTAAAAACGAAAAGGGTATACACATCGATATTAGTTTGTAAATAATTACTTCCGCATCAGGAATGAGGGTTGGACGCTAATGTGAATGAAAGATATATGTAAATAACAGTCACAATTAGTGTTTTACATAGATAGTTATACCATACTTTACTGGTAAGTATAATTATGCAAATGAATTGAGCAATCCTGTATACATATAATAAGGTAATAAATGGCGGCAGTCGTCGCACTGCGCATGTGCGACATTTGTGTTGATAAACATTGATTTTCCCCAAATCCAATGCGCTCTTCTAATGGAAATTACAAGTATGAGGTTTGACCTGGACGCAACTTGCACTGATTACCGCCGGTGACTCCTTCGATACCTTCCAATCACCTAAAAAATACCTAATCAAAACTTGGTGACGTCTCATTTCGTACTCGATGGTTTGCGCAACTAGTCAAAGTCACCATCTTTGTATATATGAGACCCATATATTTCGCGCACGCGTGAAGCGACGACTACCGCCCTTTAAAATAAATAAATATTCTCCGGTGACAACATAACATTTACACACCGACTATTAGAAAGAAAGTAATGCCCACGTAAACAAAAAAAGGAGTAACGTTTTATAAAAAAAGTCATGTTAAAGTCATTCATTAACATTCGTGAATATGTCGTCGCTTTTTGAAAAAAATATATAATTAGTTCCAATATGTTCACTTGTGGCAAAGCTATAAAATTGTGTTTTTTTATGGGTAAGAGCATATTGTCAATATAGTCAGAATGTAACACTCCGACGACCGATTACCATGAATATATGTTTTAATTTAGTTATTTCTTTGTCGTTAGTTTTGTCTGGGTATAAAGTGAATGTGCATTATAGATAAAGTAATGTAATTGAAAATCGCAGCAAGTGCGTAAATACCCATAATACACAGCCCGTCAATGGCTAATATACATTGTTATTCCTAAATTGGATTGAGTTGTTTTCACCAAACTTCCATTTTATCACAAAAGGCGAATATTGTAGTACAGGACGATGCCGTAACTAGAACTTTGGTAGAAGTCTCTTTTAACGTTCCGCTACAGTGACCGAGCTAGCGTCCCGCTACAGTGACCGAGCTAGCGTCCCGCTACAGTGACCGAGCTAGCGTCCCGCTACAGTGACCGAGCTTTCTTTTTGTCAGTATCTGTTCTAGTATGTTTTGGCTTAACAGTTTATTCGGGTATGGTTCAGCGTTAAAAATCCTACAATTTATATTTTCTCATTCGCTCATAATTCCGCCATGATATTGATTAAATCGCGTCACATGATTAAACTTGACTACTTTATTGGATAAAAGTGCAAGGACACAAGAGTCTCGTCACATCGACGCTTTCAGACTTTTCAACTAAACAAATCAGTCTCCATCTAGACTATTTGCATTCATTAAGTATAGTCTAGTACAATGCTACGCCTCGCTATGCCTGGGCGTGATGGGATGAGATGGATAGTGCCGTGTACAGTCGGGAGACGCACGGTGGAAATAAACCGACGGTAACGATCTATTATCTAAATATAGTTTACGCGTTCCACAATTGATATTAACAAACATATTATCGCGTTTGTTACACGGCCATGGAGTGTGTCATTTCTGTTCACAAAGGTTTATGCGAAAATAATTACGAACATTTCGACTCACCTTCTGACCATTTTCAAGCCGTATTTCGTTGCCATGGTAACGAACGATTACGGCAACAAAACACATAGTTTGAGGACGTCTGTTACACTCTTCATTTTCAACTAATATCTCAAAGTCGCCATTGGGCGACGAGTCACGTGCCGCCATGTATGTACAATTACCCTCAAACGCGAAGTAACTTCCGTCAAATGAAAAATAATGAATGCCACCATACCCATAACAGTAACCTAGGAAACAAATACACCATGGTTAAATACATTGCCGGTATCGTAAAAAAGAAAGACCTACTAACATTGTATGCCCTCGTGTTGATTTGTGAGACATTGAAAGTGTAGTACATTGAGATGCAGTCAAGAAGGTTTGAAATTCCATCAGAACGAGAACATTATCAGCCACGTCAACCTATATTACTGCACAGTACTGTACTGCCACTGTGTGTGATACTGTTTAATACTGACGACCAGAAACTATGAAAATTGCGGGGTGGCCTCCTACATGTTATGAAGTTTGTATTCAATAATATTATACACAAATACATCAATTTTAAACTGTGGCAATTTGTCTTCAAAATATGAGTCATGTATAATATTATTGTGTTTTGTATGAAGACACATTTATTAAACAACCGCTAAAGGCATATCCCAAATATAAAAAAATATATATATATATAATTACATTGCGTGCATTCGTCAGGCTTTACACATGTATCTCCCTTTCTAACCAATCCCGGGGTACAGCCACATCCAGGTGTACACCCAGTTGGGCAATCATTCCATGGTCTTCCACTAGTTGTACATGTCCATTCGCAAGTTGTCAGACACTCGTACCAGATCATAGGGTAGTTACATTGGTCATACACAGCTGAGGTAAGCAAAACAGTTCAACATTAGTGAGAAAAACAATAACTTTAATTGTATATGATAAGGACGGCGGAACAGATGGGAGTAAATGATAATACATACGACATAAATCCGGCGATCGCCATCCTAACAGCACATGGGCTTCAGTGTTGGCACAGTCTGTCGCATATATTGTAAGCACCTCGCATAGACAGTCGTCAATATTGTCACTTGCATGCCCAGTACTGTTGTACAAAAATTCGCATACAAGTTGTTCGCATCTCTCTATATAAGGTTCGATGTCGACGTGAGAGTGGCAAGGTGCAAATGCAGCAGACCTGTGGCAGAGATAGAGGAGGAATATTATAAACATAAACAGATGTCCCCATAAATAATTGTGAGCATCTCATGAAAAGTTTTCTTTCATGCACAGATTATTTCATGTTCGTGTTCGTGTATGTGATATTTACGATCTACCTGTAATGTTGGCAACGCGATTTTCTATAATGTTAACAGGCAGAAATAAATCCTAGATTATACAAGAAAATTAGTTTCCACCATACCTTTTTTCTATGACTTAACGATAAGTTAGGTTATTAAAATACCAAGTACAGTGCACGCAGACTAAACACATTGATATGATTTTATCTATTGTACATGTCCATTAACTATTATTAATAATACTAACAAATATTTTCAGACTTACCTCAATATTTCGCACTCCCTCCTGGCTTCATCCGCAAACTCGGCAAACGTTAACATACAAATTTCTTCCGGTTGGGGACACTCATCATGATTACCCCAACTGTCGCCAAATGACAATACGTCATTAGTGGGTGCAGCATCGGACATGGTTAAGTCATCACTGGCATTACTGTTTGGAATTCCACACATACCTGCAACTCTGTCGTACAGTTGATCATCAATCTCAAGTGTGATCTCTGAATAAATATTCCAGTGCACAACTAAGCCAAAATCAGTTTTAATAATATACTCTTGACCACTTTTGATGATACTGAATCCTTGAGTTTTTTCCAATTGTCCACTGACAGCTGATAATTGTGACCTTCTCACGTACTGTCCGTTTATATGGAGAAGCATGTGTTTGCGAAGCAACATGTCTGTGTCTCTAATATTAACATGAAGTTCTTTTTTGCAAAGCATACTTGAATATCCAGTGCCACCAAATACACAGATTCTCACAACTGCAAAAAAGATAGTCTTAATTAAATACATGTTTAGATAACTCAGAGTGGTAATTCTTCTGACGGGAGCTCTTATTCGATTTTTATTTAAGATGCACACATACACATGTGCATTTGCATACTAACCTTTGACGACAAAGTATGGCACTTGATCGGTCGAGTTTGTGACCATCACATGGTCGCACATATCATACTCGTAGACTAGGTCATCGAATGTGCTGAAGGAATTAAGGTAAACGCTACATTCTTTCGAGCATTTAGTAGAGTTGCAGATCACTTGGTCATCAGATAAACATTCACAGAACCTACACCCATACTCAGACCATATCTCTCCAACCCCGACAAAGTCACCTGCCAGTGTTGTACATCCTATAAAAAAATCACCAAAATAATCCTATTACAATTGAATTCAATCGAGTCCTGTCTTCATCATATATTATTATCAAACTGTTGACAGTCACTCTGGGGATTTTAATGAATGAACAATGACTTTGACTAGTGTTTACATGATCAAGAAATAGTATAAATGTGCTTAGTATATATATATATATATATTGCTCCTTCTCACCTGGTGTTTCAGTTGGGCAGTTCAGCTCATCTTCTGAATTTAGGCAGTCAGGAGTTCCATCACACATAAGATTACGAGATATACATTGTTCACTGCATGTGGGACTCTCAGACATTGAACAATGGTATTCATCTGCTTCACATTTACACGGTACACATTGGCAACATTCACCATCGAGATGCTGCAGTATTTGCCCCGGCTGGCATTCGTCGATAACACAACGCTTGACACATGTTACTTCGGAATTAAAACAATTGCACGTTTCGCATCTACTATTGATAAACATGCCACTTTTATACATGTTGTTCTCATAGTAACATGGGCACCATGCAGGCTCTAGGCAAATTTTCCCGTCACACATATGTCCGGATTGGCAACTCTCAGGACAGTTACTAATATCAGTTACATTTGCACATACTGCTACCGGTCTTACCGTTGGACCTGAAAGAGGCTCTGATGTAACATGAACACCGTCTGAAATACAGAATAATAATATGCAAATCACCATTGTGTTTTTTTGTATTGTTTTTGTTTTTATTTGACATGCATGCTCTAAAATATTACACTGAGTGAAGCACAGTTAAAATTTACCTGTTATTTCTATGGCCAATATATCTTCTGGCTGTGGAGTTGGATTGCACTCCCTTGTTGTTTTGTTAACACACACAATCTCGTTGTTAAAACAGGTACAAGTCTCACATAGTTCGAATTCCCACCTTGAACCGGGCTAGAAAGAGTATACATTCATTCATCATTTGAATACATCATAGACCATGAATACGTCAGAGACCATGACATGTGTTTCATGTTGTGAAACATTCATGAAATTTCAAAAATACTTACTGCAACCATAGTGCCTGTGTCTTCTCGTAAACAAAGACAATCTTGTTCGGGAATACACTTCAGTTCTCCATTCACTTCCATTACTAAGTTACCAGGTGTGTTACAGAAAGTAACAGAGTGTGATCGTGCTATCAGGGTACGATCCAAACAAGCATCCAATTGTGCATTCTCGTTGTCTTTGCACACTTGCTCGCTACTTTGCATTGCATGGCACAGTTGTTTACAGGTAAATGCATTGGGGACTAGAATTTCATTGGAGCCACACGTATCTAAACAGACAATACAGAAACACACATGTGTGATATTTTGTAGAAAATTAACAATCAGGTCATGCATCCGATAACAGTACTTGCAGTATTTTTTTTCACGAAATGCATAGCGTTGAGATAAAAGCTCAATTATAGGAAAACAATCTTCAAGACAATAAAAATTGGAGATCATCCAATCAGTTCATTGATCTCTAGTATTAAATATGAAATAACCAACCTGTAACTAATGGTGTCTGTGGAGCAAGTGTCCTAGTTACTTCGATTGCTAGAACAAAAATTATCTGAAGGTTTACTATGGCATTAGAAAATCTAAAATGAGTAGTTATAACACACGTTTATAATAAATTCGCTTGTGAAGGTTTCTGATATAAATATGTTATAAATATAGTATTGGCATACCTGAACATTCGCCACAGTGGAAGCGAACTTTATAATCTTTACATACTCCCATTTCTTGGTCCATACCATAACACAGTAGACCATTCAGTACATCACAAGTTACTGTCTGTCCAAGTTCATCAGGTGAAGTATCAGATTCAATATCTCGGCATTCTATTTCAATTGGCGTGTCACAAAATATGTAAAACAATCGCAGGTCTTCAATAGATTCAATATCATCTCCATCATCCAAAGGAGTGTCAGTGTTCATCCATTCAGTGTAGCCAGGTTTGCAAATCTCAGTGGTGCCTGTAGGTCTTGGTTCTGTTTGGACTGACTTCGATGTTGACAGGGATAATTCTCTTGCACTTGTAAGGCTAGTAGGGTGGAATTCTGTCAAAACATCTTTTTGTAAGGTTAAATCTGTCGAACGACTTTCCTTACTGATTGTACCAGCCAGGCCAGTCATTAGTGAAGGCATAATTGTAGGAGGAAGGGTTTTGGATAATGTGGTCAATATTTTTGGAAATAAAGTTGCTGCAGCAGTTTCAACTACACTTGCCAGCATTTTACTGGTTATTCCATGAGATGAGATTTCTGGTAATTTAGTAATTTTCTCTGTTACTAGTTCTGTTGTCAAGTCTATAATCTGTGTTAATGTTTCTGGTTGCGATGCGATGGTTGATTCAATGATTAATTTGATAGTAGATGGAGTTACTTTAGAAAATGTTGC